TCTAAACGTAAATTCAGGGTCTCTGTTGAAGGCGAAATGTCAACGCAAAGGGAAATACAAGCAGGGGTGCCACAAGGTTCTGTCCTTTCCCCTACTCTCTTTAATTTGTATATAAATGATGCCCCCCATACACAGGGCGTTCACCTGGCCCTCTTTGCAGACGACACCTGTCTGTATGCGACAGATCGCAAAGAGGGTTTTATTGTTAGAAAACTCCAGCGCGGTCTCAGCTCAATGGAGACCTGGTGTGAGCGCTGGAATATAAAAATTAATGAAGATAAGACTCGGGGGGTCTACTTCTCTTGTGGTCGTCGACCGCCTGAGTCTTGTCTTACTCTTAATGGATGAAATATTCCATTTGTAAATAGTGCAAAATATCTAGGTGTAATCTTCGATAAGAGAGTTACATGGAGATTACACATAGAAATGATCGAAGCCAAGGCCTTCAGAACATTCATTAGAGTATATTCCGTATTCAAAAGAGAGCGTTTAAGCGCCAACATTAAATTGACCCTCCACAAAGCTCTTATTAGATCTGTAATGACTTATGCTAGTCCCGCCTGGGAGTTTGCGGCAGACACCCATCTAGTGAAATTGCAGCACCTGCAAAACAAGGTTCTCCGCACCATTGGCAATTTTCCAAGGCGCACACCGGTCCGCGAATTGCACATGGCATTAAAAATTCCATACATATATGATCACATAACAAAATTATGCAGGCAACAAGCAGAAGTCATACAAAATCATGAAAATGAGAATGTTTGCATTATTGGTAAAGGTGAAGCCTGACATAGAAAGTATAAGAGGCTTAAACTTGGCGGCGGTCAGGCATACGACCATTCAAGTGACTAGACTGCCGTGGTAGCAAATAATACTAGAAACAGGGCATAATCTGCTGTACAAAGCCTGGAATTAAGACTACAATTAAATTGTAAATATATGTCAATACTGACAATGGACTGACTAAGACTGACAAATGACAGAACCGACCTCTTGTCACAGAGGGCGCCCCAAATGGACAGGACAGCAACTTTCACAAAGAAGAAAACATCTGGTCAGACAGACAGACTGACTGACCGTCAGTTGCAAAATGACTTTGACTTTGATGTGAGCAGAGTGTGTGATTAGGAGTGACACCGTGTGGATCATGAAGTCACCGAAGTCAGCTGCAGTCTAGCATTCGCTGGAGTGGTGGAAGTATTTGTGAAACTGCAGATGGCAGTAGTGGTGAGATTGTAAATTGTGTAATTGTGAGAGCGAGTGTTCAATAAATTCGCTATATCAAATAAGGCGTGAAGTTATTTGTCGCGTGACATATACCCAACACGTGACAATATACTTCTCTCATATCTTTCACTTTTACTTACCCTTCTACTATACCTCCTTACCTTCCCCCCCCCTTCCCCATGTGTTTCATTAAGAATATCAAGAGAAAATACAAGGCTTGTCAAAGAAATTAAGTTTAAAAATGCGAATTAGTTACCTGGTTTAATGCCAATAGTAACTTCCACTCAAACATACATTTTCTCCTAGAGCCGAAGGATGACTCAAAACATAACTCAGTCCTCAAAATACTTTGTATTTTCTCCAGTAGTGTAGTACAGCTACCACAAAACCTTCAGAGATCCTAGGAAAAGTTGTGAGGAACTGTGTATTTTATTTACCATTAATTAAAGTGCATGTTTCTCTTATAGGGAGCTTGTTTTAGTTTGAGCATGGAAGCCTTTCCCCCAAATTCAAACTGGGATTCAATTTTTTTATACATAAAGGATTAGTAATACTGACCTTATTAATGTTTAATAATGTCACAGAAAATAAACTCAGAAAGAAAAGAAACTCATCTGTACTAAGCTAACATTGATGCAAGTGCAGTGTATACAGGTATGTTATATCTGCAAATTTTTCATAAATTTAACGCTGTGTTTCCATGACATTGTGGTAACAGAGAAGCTGTCTGCTGTAGGCGGGATTTCTTCCGGGTTTAAGAACTTCCTTTTTTTTATTCTCTTATGGTGGAAGAATATAGTTCGAGGTTTGATGTAAATTTATATCATGTTTGATCAGTTAAAAGGAGTTTCAATATATTTTTAATATTAGGAGAAAATTTTTAAGATTTGTTTTTATGTTGCAATGTTTTATGTTGGGCATTCAAGTAACATGAATGTATCACATGCTTCAGTCATTTCACTACCGAAAATTATGTCCAAGTTGCCGCTGATATGTGCAAACAAAAGCTGTCATTTATGCTACATAAAAGTGAATACTGTAAGGCAGTGGTTCTCAAACTTTTTACCTCTGAGCACCCCACTGACAAGAGAAAATACTCTCAGGCCCCCAGCCTGTTTTTTTCTTTATCAAAATAGAAGTCATGGTATATTTGACGTTTTATTCAGTTTATTTTTTCTACATACTATTTAGCACTTTTTTACTCAAAATTAAAGAATCACAATATTAGGCCTACAATAAAAATTAGTTTTAACACTTCCAATTAACCAAAATATGTATTGAAATGAAACGATATTTAACTAAAAAGTGTTTAATTTTTTTTCTGCAAAGAAAATCGAACATTTAAATGTCAAACTTCAGTGTGATGGATGGGCCTGCTTTTGAGAACAAAGTTTATCAGAACGTGGTGTAATATCAGAAATGGCCACTCTAACTTCTTTAGCAATATTTAGCCTTGAACAATACATTGGCTTTATAGCTACCAAAGCAGAAAAGCCTGTATCGCATAAGTATGTTGTTGTGAAAAGAATCAGGATCTTCAATGCCTTTTGGCTCAAAGTTTGAAATTCCTTGACAATATGTATCCAGAACTCCAACAAAGACAATTCCTTAAATTTACTTTTTAATGAAGTATCACTAGTGAGATCGATGAGTTGTTCTTGCTAATTTACCTTCAGAGATGATGGCCCAGGAGAATTTTCAAATGGATTTTTAATCCAATAAAATTTATCAAAATCAATGCAAAAGTATTTTTCGAAATGAACTTTCAACATTATGAGATCATCAAGTAGGCAGCTTTTTATGTGCATTGGAAGCACTGGATTATCAATGTCTTCTACCATTGACACCAGAATAGGGAACATGTCTAGCGTGTCACTTTCCACACTGTTTCTCCAGAGCTCTAATTTTTCATGAATGCCTTCACTTTGTCATTCCAAGAAAGTACAGTTGCCTCAATCCCTTGAAGTGAAGTGTTGAGGATATTTAGTTTCTCAAATATATATCTGTGAAGTAAGTCATTTTCAATAAATATTCTTGTTGTTGAAACTATCTGCCAGTGACTGATTTTCCCCATTTAAAAAACAGAACACCTCATGCTTCAGCTTAAACATTCTCTTTAATGCCTTGTCTCTTGAAAGCCATCGAGGATCACTAAAAAACAACAGAGCAGTGTGTTCGGCACTCATTTCCTCACACAGCATTTTAAAAAGTTTAGACTTCAGAGGATTTCAGAGGATGTGGCTGCTGTAGAACTATCAATGCTGTCTCTGGCATACGTGTTTTATAAGTGCCAGTAAAGAGAATAATTATTAGTTATTTTGAAATTCATGATAATTAAAGCCTGTATTCATCAAAAGTTTTTCTATATGTATTTTTATTTTTTGTTACTTTTCTAATTGATTTAGGGCAGTTTTAATTTGTATCTGTAGGAAAGTATGCTGCGCCCCCCTTTCAAGCCCTACTCGCCCTCCCCTGGGGGTCGCGCCCCACAGTTTGAGAACCACTGCTGTAGGGGATAATTACCCAGAAAAGAATGTGTTAATTTCTAGGCATATACTAAATGAGTACTATAATGTTTGGATGTTTAAATCTTTATAAGTGATGAATTATCACCGCAGCACATTTGTGAACTTGCATATAATGAGTTATATTACTTCATTAAAAGGTATGATAAAGGTAGAATTTTCACATACTTGCGTGCCTGACTAATTGTGGCCACAGTGCGATACCGCTGTACTTGCAGCTGATTGGCTCCATACACTGACATGTGAAGAAAGGCTGCACCAATTAAGGAACCCCACAATGTATATCGTTCTGTAGGATCGAAGTCCAAACTGAAAAACGAATAGTTGTATTAGTTTTAACAAGAAGTTCTCCTAGAACTTATGATGTTTCAACCAGTATGAGGATGTCAGAAATAATTATGTATAAATAACTGAAGAATTTATTGACCAATTTCTGTACATTAATTTAATGTAAATATTCTAAATATATTCAATTTTTCTGATATGACTTCAAGTTTCACATTTACAATAAAAGTAATAGCAGATTCTAAAGGGTTCAAATATCAAGAACTCTTTAGAATCTATTTGTACAACCAGTAAGCACCCAGTATATCCTTCAGTTAGAAATTCAGCTGGCTAAAACCCTCAATCATATAACTTTCCTCGTGTGACGTAAATCTCAGGGTATCATCCCCAAAGGTTTCTCTGTAAGACTCCCTTGAAAAGTCAACGAATTTCCAAAATTACCGAAAATGCCAGCAGGGCACTCCTTAGGGACAGGATACAGTTCCACTGAGGATAAAATAATGGGTTACAGAAAATTTGAAAATATGTCTATGATGTATTTCCAATAGTATTTTACATGCTTTGCTGCAGTGGTTCAATAGTTACTGCCATAAAACAGGAAGCTAATAACAGTGTAAATTGGAATAGTGTGATATAAGAAATGTTAATGGAGTTTCACTTTATATGCAAAATTTGAAATAATGTGAACCTAAAAATATTCAGCAAGAATCATATATACAGTACGTTTCAAAATTTTTCTTGAACTATGAGAGTTCTGGATTATGCGAGGTCCTCAGGACTGCATCCTTGTACAAAATGCAACTGCACTGTACATATTTTTTTATGGGATCCACGTTGTTTTATTCTCTAAAAAGATACTGTTTCAACAGAAGTCTTTTCCTCCCCTTTTTTGGACAATCTAGCGCCATGTACAATTTCAGGACAGCACATGTCAACTGAAGAATCATTACTTTAATGTCAGATTCACAACTTATAGCTTTAGAAAACATGGCATTATTTTTGTGCATCAAACGCAGAGAACTAGCTGAAGTGATTACACAGTATATACGTGGTCTTACAATAAAGTTCGCGAACTCACCACAGTAAAAGTGCTACAGACCTCAGTGTTGGATATCACTGTAGTCACCTTCAGAGTACTCCCCTTTGGAAACTATGCACCGATGTCAGCGCCTAGTCCACCCTTCAAAACAATTTTGGAACTGGTTTTGTGGAATGGCCTTCAGAGCTGCTGTCATATTACTCCTGATGTCAAAAATGTCACCAAAATGCCTTCCCTTCAATATTTTCTTTATCTTTGGAAACAGAAAAAAGTAATTGGGGGGCTAGATCCGCTGAATAGGGAGGGTGTTCCAGTACAGTTATTTGTTTACTAGCTAAAAACTCCCTCACAGACAGTGTTCTGTGAGCTCCTTTGGGACCATTTTTGCACACACCTTCCTCATGTCAAGATATTCAGTTAAGATTTTCCTGTTTCCCTGTCGATATCTGCTTCTTCTGCTATGCTCCTGACAGTCAGACAAATATGTTCACGCACAATGTGACAAAATCTTGCCATGTTTTCTTCACTTCTGCTCGTTGCTGGCTGTCCTGATCTCTCTTCGTCAGTGACACTTTCTCTTCCCTCATAAAAATGTGTTACCCACTTGTAAACTGCTGTTTTCTTCATAGCATTATTACCGTAAACTTGCACGAATATCTCTCTGTTTTCGCTTCCACTCCTGCGAAGTTTAACAAGAAATTTAAGCTTCATTCGTTGCCCTAATTCAAGCTCCGCCATTCTTGTGATGGCACAACAAAACACACCCAGACAATAATAGACACCACTCAGAAAGAGATGCCCACAGATCAACAACACCACAGCTGTGAAACGCTGATATGCCATCATCATCAAACCATACTGAGGTTTCTGTCCTCTTCTGCCACAGCAAGCACACGGTGACGAATTCGCGAACTTTATTGTGAGACCTCATATGTTTGCATGCAAATTATTATCAATCGCAGGACACATCATCATAACTCACTTTGTAGAGACAAGAACAAACACTAGGTGACCAACTACAAAAAAACTGCAAATCATTTTGAGGTTCTTCATAACCTCAACAAGGAGGGAATACAAGCAGCTCTGATCAGAAAGAGACTCTACTCAGTTTTGTACCAATAACAGTAGTCACAGAAACCAGCAGCCACATATAAATGATTTAACATATCTGATTCCAGTTATTATTAAGGGCAAAAGCCAGTGGAAAGAAATAAGAATAATATAAACCATAAATTTAAAGTGCTCAACAAAATCAACAACAGAAAATGGTGATCATCGGGGACAGTCATGCCCGAGGCTGTGCAGCTAATATGAAACATAGTCTTAAAGACAGTTACAAGATTAATGGTTTTGTGAAACCAGGAGCATGCATAGATCTGCTAGTCACTTCAGAAAAGGGTGATATGGAATACTTAACCAACAGGGAAGTAATTGTCTTTTGGGGAGGTACTAATGATGTTGGAAAAAATAATTTCCAAGCTGGATTGAGACATATAGTGGATTTCATGGAAATTAATGGTCATACAAGCATTGTTTTGGCGAGTGTCCCACATCAGTATGATTTATCTGACTGGTCTTGTGTGAACAGTGAAGTGAAAAACTTTACCAGAAAACCAGTGAAGCTTATGGAGCCTTTCAAGCATGTTAGGGTGGTAAAAGTAGATCCCAAAAGAGAATTTTTTACTAAACATGGTCTGCATATGAACAATGTGGGTAAAGAAAAAGCAGTGTTAAAGATAGCTAATGTTGTTACTACAACGTTTCACAAACAAATAGAAGAGCCAATCAGACTGTACTGGAAAACTGAATATGAGGATGGGGTAAATTATACTTCAAGTGGGGATAATATAATTACATAAGAAGACACTAAAGCTGCCACATCAGACAATGAAGAAGTTATATCTCACACTGCGGACCAAGATGTTCCAGCAGAAGTAGTAGATAGAATATCATATGGTAGGACACAAGTAGGTAAGACCTCACGTAAGCAAAATAAAGCCACCATTATGAGAAGCAAGGATTTTTTGTGGCAAAAGTAATTTCAAATAGACAAAAACACATTGCATTTGAACAATTAAGTAATCAGTCATGTAATAAGAATGATGATATAAATAACCTATTTAAGATATTTCACCAAAATATTAGGGGAATAAAAGGGAACATTAATGAGTTAATGATATCTTTATTAAATGAGGAACCCAGTGTAATTTGTCTGACAGAACATCATCTTACAGGCTATGAAATGTGTGCTTCACATATTCCTAAATATAAATTAGGTGCAGGATATTGTACGAAGAAGTTAAAAAATGGTGGCGTCTGTATATTCATTCAAGATGATCTAAATTTTACTACTATAAATCTACAAAAATATTGTAAGGAAGGAGTCATGGAAATTTTGGCCATTCAATTAAAATTTAATGAGAAAAATGTAATTATTCTCTGTATATACAGAGCCCCAGCCAGCGATTATGACTACTTTTTAAACAAACTGGGCTATATACTTAATTTTCTTCAAAGTATAACTTGGAATTTATATTATGTGGGGACATAAATATTAATTATCTAGAAAATAATAATAGGAAATCAAAGTTAGATAACATGTTAAATACTTATAATCTAAGAGATACTGTGTATTTCCCTACAAGAATTGCCAATAATTCAGCCACTTTCATAGATAACATATTTATTGATAACAGAAGAAGCTATACCATTAAACCGTGTATTAATGGACTGTCTGATCACGATGTGCAGCTCATAACATTTAAGAATATTACTGTACCTAATAATAAATTTATTTTGCATAAGGAAAAATTGCCTGATCAGTGGAAGGAGTCTATTATTGTACCAGTTCACAAGAAGGGTGGTAAAACTGACTGCAGTAATTATTGGGGGATATCACTGCTATCAACTTCATATAAAATTTTGCCCAATATTCTTCTTTCAAGGTTAAGTCCATATATAGATGAAAATAGTGGGGATCATCAGTGTGGGTTTCAACGTAACAGATCAACTACAGACCAGATCCTTTGCATTCGTCAAACATGTCAGATATTGGAGAAGAAATGGGAGTTCAATGAGAGAGTACATCAGCTATTCATAGACTTCACGAAAGCCTATGATTCCGTTAGGAGGGAAGTATTGTACAATATTCTAATAGAGTTTGGGATACCCGTGAAACTAGTTAGGTTGATTGATCTGTTTAAACAAAATGTATAGTAAAGTCCATGTAGGTAAACATTTGTCAGATGAATTTCCTATCCAGAATGGTCTAAAACAAGGAGATGCTTTATCGCCACTCCTTTTCAACTTTGCCTTAGAATATGCCATTAGGAAGGTCCAGGGAATCCAGGTGGGTCCGAAATTAAACGGGACACATCAGCTGTTGGCCTACACCGATGATGTGAATCTACTGGGTGATAATGTAGACACCATAAAGAAAAACACAAGTAAACGCAATTAAAGAGGTTGGTCTAGAAGTAAACACAGAGAGAACTAAGTATATGTTACTGTCTCATCACCAAAATGCAGGGCAAAATCATGACATAAAGATAGGAAACATTTTTTTTTTTTTATAAATGTAGCACAGTTCAGATATTTGGGAACATCAATAACAGATCGGAACCTGATTCAGGAGGAAATTCAAAGGCGACTGAACTTGGGTAATGCTTGCTACCATTCAGTCCAGAACCTTT